TCTCGTAACTGTAAGTTTCCAAGGTCAGAATTCATTAACAAAGTTAAAGATTGTATAGTAAGTAAACAATGCTAGGAAAAAAAAAAAGTATCAACATCTGAGTTAACTTCTCCTGCTTCTCTCAGTTCATTTATTTACGGTGAAGACCCTCCATGCACAGATTTCCTCTTTGCTGTGTAGAAAATCATAAAATGCACTATCTTCCCTTGAACCCCTGTAAGGCTTGGAGCAAGACAAGACGGAACTGGAAGTAACATGGACAATTATTATCTTTCTTCTGCTTTCAGAGCTAAAGAGAGACAGTTAAACCAACAGGACGCTCTTTATCTCTCTTTTTGAAATTATGGCAGAGGTGTGACAAAAGCATAAACAGGCCTAGCAACTCAGGGTGTCTGGTTACTTTAGTTTGAAATAAAGCTTCATGTGACAATAGTGAAGCCTGTCCTTTTGCACTACAATAACTCTGTGTGGGAACCATTCAAAATCCCTCTCAGAGATGATCTGAGTCACAGTTACGGCACTGAAGCCTTTGAGAGCGGTATAAGCCAGACTAAGATAATATAATGCACACAACAATTTGAATACGTCACAGTCCTTACAAGCATATATTTGTGTGAAAATTAACAATACAAAAGTAAAGATGACAGGATTGCTCCCCTATTTTGACTTCTTTGAAAGAATAGGAATTTCAGGTGTGTAAGGACCACTGAACTGGACTGTGGCTGGTGATCAGCGGAGTGGTGGCTATGAAAAATTTCAGCAGCTTAAAATTTAGTGCCAACCAGACCAAAGGTTACCCCTGAAACTAGGACAGAGAAGGGAAGAAGTAAAATCTGGATGAAATACAGGCAAATATTAAAATAATATCTGAGCTGCAGTTCTTAAAAAGCTAATTTTTTAAGGCAATTGCAGCTGATTATTTTTATTCATTCAATTCTTTTATTCTGCGTATACTGCTGTGATGAATGTTCATTTCAATATCTGAAACAAACATGCTTTTTGGAGTAAAGTTTAAGAGAAAATAATCTGAACTGATTATATTTAGCAACTTTTTAGAAAAGACAACAATTTTTACTGTACTACAAAAAGACTATAACCAGCATACCTATCCAACCTTGTAACTGTTCTGTTGGAAAAGTAGTAGGAAAAGCTTGGCTTTCATTAAAAAAAAAAAAATACAAAAAGTCCAAGGTCATTGAAAGGACCAAAAGGGCTACATAGAAAATCTCTTTGAGAAGCAGAACTGATCTGAAGGAGAACAAAAATAAATCAAAAACTCTTTTCCATCACTTTTTCTTAGTACCCCCATGACTTCAAAAAATAATTTATTTTAAAGTTTGTAAAAGAAAAAAAAAGTGTTGTTGGACTAAGACTTCACTTATCAAGTTTCATCCTGGAGGGAATTTTTATAGCTGAGTTATAAACCCTCCACACTAGAGTGTTTACAATGGAAACGCTGACAAATGCGATAATAAACACCAATCATGGGGCCATAGTAGCTGGTCAGAATGTGGATGCAGGAGTTTGCAGTGCTATCATAATATTTTGTTCTGTTTCCAGCACTAATTTGCTTAAACCTACTTTCAGGTTGAGCAGCTGTAAAACAAGATCAGCCCGACTATAGATTGCAAAATCATTTGATTATTTATACTTCTCTTAGAAAGCTTGGAAATGCCTCTCAAATATGATTTCATTTAGACTTATTTTTTGGTTTACATGTCTGAATACTAATCGTAATGTGATAGCTTCAAGGGAACTCAACTTTCTACCAAAAGGCAGCCTTCAGTGGGCAAAGAGAATATAAACAAACCCGCCTCAGACCAGGATCTAAAAATGGGCTATGATCAAACAGCTCTAAGGCTTTAAAAAACCCCTTATTATCTTTTCCCAGAAGTAATTGACACTGTCAGTTTTTGTTCTTAATGCGGTGATAATGGCATGGTGCTCTGGGGAGACTAAGGACCACGATTGGCCTCAGCCTTGGTGGCAGCAGGGTTCCTGAGCAAGGGAAAGGCCTTTCACTACAGCGGGTGAAATCCTAGCCTTACTGAAGTTAGCAGCACTTTTGCACTCACTTCCTTAGGGCCAGGGTTTCACTGGCTTCCCAAGCCCGATATGTTGTTCTATTGCACTGTGACTCCACAGACTAGGATGCAGCTATCTTGGATTGAGACGAGGCCGAGGGGAGAAGGGACCCCACAGTCTTGTTATTTCAGGGAGATGGGATCGCAGTCCAGCAAGAAGCTTGTCTGCAATGTTTCCATAATTTGTTTATATTCTTAGCAGGCTGAGCTTCCAGGACTTCAACACATCCGCATGGGCCAAGTGGTGGGTCAGTATGGTATCTCACTGTTTCACTGAGCTCTTCATGGGCGTAATTAGGGCCTGTTTTATTTTTAACACAGGTGTCTAAGAAAAAATGACATCTAGGCTACTGTTCTGGTAAATCCTTGCCAGTTTTGGAAAAGCGTGAAACATAAAAAATTAAAGCCCCCTTCATCGGGTTCTCAGCTCCTATAAATCAGTGTGCGGCTGAGAGGCTCCTCCAAAGTCTTTGACGCAACATGAAATGCATCTCGATACTTTATCTGTGCTGTTTGCATATTGTGTTCATTGGCTTATACCACAACTGCATTTTTAAGTTCAAATGTTATTTTTAGAATCAGTGGTTCATATAAGAATGTTACTACTGTTCTGTATTGCTGCTGCAAAATTTCCAGTGATCCATTAAAAATCAGGATTCATAATGCAGGATCCAGATTTTGATTTGTATTTAAAAATAAAATGTAACATTTTCTTTCTGCTTTTCTTTAGTCGTTAACACAAGTATGGTAAAACTTTGGATCTTAAACAAATCCCAATGTTTTGTTATTGAACCAAGAAGAGAAAACCAATAATTTTTGAATTATCTGTTACAGACATGTTTACATTATGAATCTCTTAACTTAAGACTCTGTGTGCTATAGAGTTCTAATTTTATCCAGTAACATGAGCAAGAAAAAAAAATATGAAAAGATATATAATCATGTTGTGGAAAGCACAGTTGTATAGAGATCATAGAGAAATTGTGCTAAGAAGTGAATATTGAATTGCACATTTCATTATCCTAAAAGAATTTGTCTTCATCGTTTTGTTTGAGACAGTGGTAACAGTAAAATGCATCTGGGTCATGTGAACAGTTGTTGATTTTGGAACATGGTTCATTCAAAGTTCCTTTTCTCATTTTATTTTTAGGAAAAAAAAAACAACAACAACCATCTGAAGAGGTGAAACACCCCAGTTTCTAGAGAGGAACCAGCTGCATTAACTATCCAACTGCCTCTTGGAAAAAAAGCGTTCTGACAACTGGAGAGCAGATGCAATGTGTGGAGTCAGGGAGGTCAACAAAAACAAGTGGAAAAAGAAACCAAGGAAACAAGTGAAAAGAGAAAGAATATTAGAGTATTAATACCGGATATTAGTTCACTCAAGATAACGTTAAAGTGAATGGAATGAGAAAAAGAAGAAGAGTCAGCACAGGAGCTGACAAAAACAAGAGAGAAGAAATCAAAGAGATATTAGGGTGGGATTTAGATCTTAGCCGTACTAGCCTGAATCCAGGGTAAATCTTGATTTCACTAATATCACGACAATTTTATATAGCGGAGATAAAAGCTGTCCTGCGAAGTCGTGCAGAACCACTGGCCCGGATGGGACTTTCGCTCCTAAGTTTATCGCAGGCTGGACTGGGCCCTGAGCAGGCTGGTTGCTGCCCGCCCGCTGCAAATACGGGGAGAAATCCAGGTCTTTCCCCCGGCAGCGGCGAGGGAAGGTGCCAGCAGCAGAGAGAGCCGGGGGGGGAGCGGGAGGGCAGAGACACGTCAGGAAGGGCCGGAGAGGCTTTTAGGGGAGTCCCACGGGCCCCTTGCCCCAGTCCCAGCCCGGCCACGGCCACCCCCTCCGCTGCCCCTCTCCCTGGGTCTCGCCCCTGCTAACAAGCGGCTGCGAGGCATTAGTAGATAACGCTAAAAAAACGATCCCCGCGGTGGACCCTTGTCCCCATCCC